ACGCCAGAGTGTGCAGGGTTTCTTTTTTGGCATGAAAATGTTCTAAAATTGATCATGCTGACGGTTACACAAACCTGTAGATCTATTAAAGACCATTTAACTGTATACTTTAAATGGATGGATTCTATGGCTTGTGAATTATATCTCAATAAATCTGTTATTTAATTGAAAAAAAGGGATGGTCCATACTCTCAGAAGACAGGGATAGCGATGAGCATCATTACCCAGAGTTTTGACCTTGAGCAGATCTATTTGAGGAGCACATCCTGAACCTGGGACATGTCCTTTTTGTTCCTGTTCTGCGGTTTTGACGAACGCATGTCTGTGCATGTCAGCTCTCTTCATCTGGGGGCGGGACGAAGAAGAGGCCCACAGGAGGCAGGGCCCACCTTAGGCCTGGCTTAAGGGGTGGGGCTGAGGTGGCGGTGCCCAGAGAGTGTGGGGGAAAGCTCAGGACACGGGGACTTTCGTGGGAAACCAGGATGTGTGCTGCTGGAGTCTGGATGGGTACCTCTTTGGGGAGCTCCCAGCAAACGTCCGTTCCCCTGCTTAACCTCATTTGTTGTCATCTGAGCCCACTGCTTTAGTTTCTACAGTGTTTGCTCATTCTCTAAATAAACGCTTAGATGTGGGAAAGTTAGAAATGAGTAGACATTTGAATGATGTTTCATAGTTTATTTATATGATTAGTTTAAAATTACATCCTTTCTAAGCCAGCATGAATGTATGAGGCAGGCAATAATTATATAGTGACTTTTACTCAGGTGTTCCAGAGTGTTTTGAAAGTGCTTATCCAGCTTAGAATATGATTTGCAAATATTTTCTCCCATATTGTAAGTTGCCCTTCACTGTCGATGGTGTCTTTTATTTTTAATCCCAGAAGGAATTATTATTATTTTATTATAATTTAAAGCTCTTTTTAGTGTGACTTACTTTTTAAAAATCACTCTGTTGAGGTATGATTGACGTATGAAAAGCTGTACATATTTAATGTACCTCAGTGAGTTTGGGTGTAAGTATACATTGATTATATCCTTGGATGCACAAGTTTTAAGTTTGATGGAGTCCAACTTGTATATTTTTTCTTTTGTTGCCCGTGTCATATATGCCTTTTGATTGCCTTCTGGTGTCATATCCAAGGAATTATTGTGAAATTCAATGTCATGAAGCTTTCCTCCTATGTTTTTCTCTAGGAAATTTACAGTTTGGGGTCTTTGATTTAGGTCTTTAATTTGTTTCGAATTAATTTTTTGTATATGTGTAGGATAAGGATTCAACTTCATACTTTTGCACGTGGATATCCAGTTTTCCCAGCACTATTTGTTGAAGATTCAGTCGTGTCTCCATTAAGTGGTTTCTGTTTCCTTGTCAAAGACCATTTAACCACAGACATGAGGGTTTATCCCTAGCTCTCTATTCTGTTGCATGGGTCTATATGTCTCTCTTTATGCCAGCACCATATTGCATTAGTATATAGCTTTCTAATATATTTTGATATCAGGAAGAGTGGATCTTACAACTTTGTCCTTTGATTTTAACGTTATAAATTCCAAAATAAATATCTTTAATTAAAAGTTGATGGGAAGTCACCATTTTATAATCATTCGGACAGATTTCATAGTCAGATGAAAATAGAACACTGTGCAAATGCTGAAGGTATTGGGCATTTGAGATAACTTACCTCGTTTCAAATGCAAATTTTGCTTCAGTCATAAATTATACAGATTTGTTATTATGTTATCCAGTTATACAAAATAATTGCATCTACCTGTCCTCTACATCTATAGACTTGATCTATAAATTTATTCTCCTTATCCTTATTTTTGTCATAGAAAGTCGAAAGTTGTCTGTATAAAAGAAAATTGCTTGAATTCTCACCATCTAGAAATAATCACTGTTAATATTTGATATATAATGTCCTTTCCATTTTTTAGGGCAAATATATTAACATAAATGTTTTTGGCTGCATTGGTAAATAATCTGAAAGACTCTATACTGAAGTCTTTTTCTACAAAATAGAATTATATTATTAACACTTCTTTTTTTTCACTTACTGATATTTCATGACTTAAAAATTATGTGTGATAGATCTGCATCATTGTTTCTAACGGCCGCCTATAGTCCTTTGTTTTGGGTCTGCTGTGGTCGGTCACGTTTACTGTTGGATATTAATATTGTGCCTAATTGGCTTTTTTCATTTATATACAGTACTATGATTGCATCTTTACACATACAGCTTCACCCATCTGATCATTTCTTTAGGATGTGTTTCAAAAAATGAAATTATTAGGCAAAAGATGTAAACTATTTTATGAGTTCTGATGGCATATTGCTAAATGGCCCTGCTACAAGTGGCAGCTTATATTCCCACTGGCGACAGATACACGTGCCTGTTTGCCTATGCTCATACCAATATTTTCTCAATTTTCTAAGTAACAATGGTGTATTTTCATTGCAGTTTATATTTATTTGATTAATGATGAGGTTAGACATCTTAATGCGAATTTTTTAAAAATTAATTACATCATTCTTTTTAGTTTTAATTATGAAAATTAAAAAATTATGAAATGTTGTGCTTTTGGGAATTCATGTTCTTTGCCTGTTTTTTGCTTTCACCATAATGATTTTTTAGGTTTAATGTTCTAGACTTAAGTTATAGACAACACTATGATTAGAACCATTTTTCCATTTTCTTTTGCCCATTGACTATATTAATGATGCTTTATTTGGTTTTGCTCTTGAGGCATCATTAATAGTGTGTGTGTGTGTGTGTGTGTGTGTGTGTGTGTTCATTCAAAGCTGTTAATCTCTTCCATTCTGGCTCCGGGGTCTCTTGTCAACACTACAAAGATGTCCCCATATCGAGATTGCCTAAGTATCTCCCTATATTTTTCCATTGCTTTCACAGTTTGCTTGACTATCTTTGTCTCTTAATTTCAAATGTTAAAAACTAGTACTTTATTTATAAGGCATTTTATCACTCACCTTGGTGTCATATTCCCTCACCAGCACCCCCCACCTCAACACAGAAAAAGCGAGACTGAGTAAAAGCCACAGTTACGTTTAGTGGAATCGGTATTTCCTAAGTGTTCACTGCGTGCTCAGAAGGCTTTCTAAGGATGTCTGTCTAAGATATTATTATATTTAAGCCTTTGAAAACCTTTTTCTTTTTTTTTAAAAATAGAACTGGTAATGGAGACTGCCAGTGATTTATGATGCAGACCTGTTTACTGCCATTGCGAGCTTAGATGAAAGAGCTAATGAGGATTATTTTCCTTTCTCTTCTAGATTTTACAGGAAGACAAAACTTGTTGGTTTTCAAGACATGGAGTGTGTCCCTTGTGGAGACCCGCCCCCTCCTTACGAGCCACACTGTGAGTGATCTTCACACAAACACGGGCTCTCGGCCTCTTTTCTTTTTTTTTTTTAAGATCTTTGTTCAGTTGGCAAATGGAGCAAAATCTCTCTCTCCCGTGGGGCTTATAGTGTGCACTCTTTTCTCAAGCGTCCAGCAGGACAGAAAGCCCTTTTGTCGTGTGTCTCAGTCAGCAAACTGTGTCCATTGATTGGAATCTCAGAGTGAAATGCAGACGTTTTGCCGCTGCTGTGTTCCATTCAGACTCTTATCTTTCATTCTAGATATTTGACCCAGGTGCATCTCCAGTTAACCAGGTGGTCCAGACCCTAATGCGTGCTGTCTTTGTGCCACAGCCCCGTGAATTCCTGTGTTTTCCCATCTCATTCCCCAGACACTGCCATGTAGTGTCTTCTCTGCCATTCCAGAGACATTCCCCTCCACGAATCACCCGCGCTAACTAATGTATTGTTAAACGGACTCTTAGTTCATTTCGTTCACTCTTTTATTTTTCTCATCTAACAAATAAATAAGAGAAAACCCATTACGTGCTGGGAATATAACTATAAATGACAAAATCAAGCCTGTACTCTTCATACTGATTATCACTTCATCTTTCTGGCCATACGTTTTTTTCTTAGCTATCAAAGGTATGAGGTTCAAGTTTGAAGAGGAGGAAGAGTGGCTTGTCTCTCTTCTCAATGTCAAGTGCAAATCTGGCCAAGGAAAACCCATAGGCGTCAGGCCAGGAGAGAAGTGGGCAGGGGCCCCCGCCGGGGTGCTCAGGGCACGCTGGCCTTTGCCAGGAGGGCTGCAGCGAGCTGCGCTTCTCTGTACGCAAGAATCAGGGGGAGGCAGGAGGGCGCTCCATCCCATGGCAGGGGTCACCATGCCTTTCCAGGACTATTGGTAATATTGGTGTTCGTATCTAGGGGTTGTTTTGATAGAATTTTCAATGCATGGGATAGGTCCTCCTGCTTCTTTCTGTGACAGAAGCCCCCTCTGAACTAATGGCAAGTTGTCGCATTATTTGATAAGGCCACATACTACTTCCATCTCCAAAAACATCATGGAATTTTGCAGTCTTTACCGAAATGCGTTACTTTCTATTTTTCATAGGAAGTGATAGAAAAACAATAATAATAACAATAATAATTATAGACTTGTAACTTTTATGGAAATGTCTTTTGACAGTCATTTTCATAATATGCAAACATTCACCAAATAAGTCGTTGCAATTAACAAATGCGATGTCGAATGGCTGTCACCGTAGAGAAACGATGTGCTTTACTTAATTTTCTCAGTATCGCATCATCATCCCACATTTGTCAATGAGGACACCAGGTCCAGAGAGGTCAATAACTTTCCATTGTTGGCCAGTAATTAGCAGAGACAGGATTCAAACCCAAGTCGGTCTAACTCCAGATCGTGTGATCTTTCCACACTGCTTACTCCCTAAGGAAAAACAAACTATCTACTCTGTCCTCTGTTGGCCGATGTAATCTACTGCATGTTGACTTTTTCTCGTATTGTTTGCTTTGATGTTCATCATTTAATGAAAGCTCTGAAAATCTAACATAGAGAAGATCCCAAAAAAGCGTTGTTACACTATGCAATCCATAAGCCAATTAAAATGGGGGCAGCAACCCGGTCTGGCCCATGAGTCAGCTCAGCCATCATTTTACCCAAAAGGCAAAGATTATGCTCCTCACCCCAAACTACCATAAAAGATTTAGTCAATTCGTATTGCTCAGTTTAGAATTGGAAAGTACTAAGGTGGTTGTTGTTGTTATTTCGTTTAATTTGTTGGGTTTAAATCAAATATAATCTACTCATAAGTCTGAGACACTGGAATTTTTTGCCTTTGGAGATCTGACTAAGTTTGGACATCATAAATGAGCCTTTAAAAGTGGATTTCACATTTAACTTTTAATGCTTCGTAAAGCCCCAATTAAGTTATAATTTGAAAAGAAAAGTAACTAGTTTAACTCATATGTATAGATATATTTCTACATATATGAAACATTTTAGAAAGCAAAGAAAAATAAGATATTTTTCGAAGTCAGAGATGTGTGTGCACAGCTACAACTAGCCTTCTGAATCACAAAACAACAGCCTGGTGGTCTTTAGTGAGTGTTAATCCTTATCTCTGTCAAGGAAAGTTTGCTGCCTTTGGCACAGTCCTTGGGAGTACTTCTAGAACGTAACCCATCTCCTCAAAAGTGATCTTGACATCTTTGGGGGGAATTATGTTAGGCGTTTTACGTTTTCATTTCTTCTACTTTGTGCTTTTCAACTTATCCACAAAAAAACCCTGCTTCCTTGGTGATTTTTTTTCCCCATGGGGAGCTCCCGTATTATTTAGATTTTTAGTTTAGCTATAAGGAGGTGACGCCACTCAAGCTGCCTCGAGTACTGGGGTTTGTTTAAAGGACACAGGTAGTAGTGAGAGAGGCTGGAACTTCTCAGAACTCAGGTGTTACTCACGTAACTCCCCTTTCATCCCTGTAAAATGGAGCAATGCTTACCTACTGAGGTTGTCGTAAGTGCTAAACTGTCAGTATACGTGAGTCTCCTGGCGCCGGGCCTGGCAGCGGGCAGCGTCTCCAGTCTCTTGGCTCCAGTGCTTCTTGGATGCCGCGATCCTATCTCCTAGCACTCAGAGGGAGCTGCTGTCCTGTGAAAGGACCGCGTGTCAGCCCAGGGGTTTGGCATTCGGCCAAGGCGGTGGCTCGAGGAACAGCCGCGAGCTAGCCCTGAGCGTGCAAGTGCCCGCGCCACAGGAAATGGCCTAGCGGGTGAGCGAGGGAACTTCCGATGGCTTCTCCGCAGCTCAGATTTGTGTCTCGGCAGCTTAAATATAAGTTTCTCTCTTGGAGGGTAAACCTGTATTGCTTGTAAAGTGATTTTAAAAACAAGAAAGAGTTTCTATCCCTTTGACTCTTAAGAAGCTCTGAAGAGTCGGGTGTCTGTCAGAGGCAGCAGAGCAGAACAAGGCGTGGCCAGAAGTGTTGGATTCACATCTAGGCTCTGCCTCGTGCCCGATGGTGTGACTTTGAGCAAATCATCTCCCCACTTCGAACCTCTATTTATTCCTTGGAAGATGGGGATGATCACACCCCACGTTGGCAGACCTCAGATGGAACTAACTGAAGTCATGTCCAGAAGCACGCCTGCCACAGAGCGAGCTCAGTGACAACTACCTGCCCGTCGCCTGCCCTCTTCCCCGTGATGGCGGCATCCGCCTGCGCCCTCGGCGCTCTGTGGAGGGTGTGGGGACTGGTCCCTTGCAGGGAGGACCTCACGATGCAGCTGGCTTTGACGTTTGTCTTGCTGGACCTTTACCTCCACAGGTGGGTGAACAGCAGATTTTTTGTGTTTGTTCCTTGACTGGCTAGACGACCAGGATGAAGAGAACCCACTTAAGGTGGCCTCTCTCCCCTCTGTCCCATTGCCTAAGGCCTCATGCTTTAAACAACCCTCCCCCACCCCCCAAAAATAATGATGGAGGTGTGAATATAATTGATCAGTCCACCCATCAGTCACTAATAGCATCAGGTGGTGAGAATGACTGCTTGGGCACCACAGCCCAAGGCTGAATGGCGACATCGCTGTAAATTGCAGGTGACTAAAAGGGACCCTTTCCGTAGAAATCCCTGCTTCAGGCTTGGCTCCTCCTCATAGCTTCACTTCCTGACAGCGTGGGCCGTGGGCCCACTTAGAGCCTGAAGGAGAAGTAGGGAGAAACACACGAGAAATTTTAGGAGAACTGTATTCTACCCTGGGCCTGATAAGAAGTGCAGATTTTGTGTGATGTCTTTGAGCAATGTTTACTTAATGTGGAACAAATGGCTTTGAAAAAATTCAAAGGGGTTTTCACCAGAGTCCAGCTTTATTCAAGTGTGTTTAACCTAGATGTTTGCTTTGTTCTTGGGGGCTTTGTAGAACAAGCCACGTGATTCCAAAGAGATAAGCGATCAGATAAGTCGCCCTGTGGGGGAGAGCGAAAAGCAGAGCAGTTGGCTTGAAACAGTTTAGGAATTTTTCATGGCTTAAAACGCTCAGAAAAGAGCAGGTCTCTGTGCCAGTAAGTAACAAGTCACATTATTAAAAAAGGGATTACTTTTTTTCCAAAGGAAACTCAAAATGTCTTCTAAATAACAAATCAAAGCAATTTCGAATTAAGCTTTTGAAAGAAATATTTGCCCATTCAAGATACTTTTCAAAGTTTGGTAGAAAAAAGAAATGGAGAACACTGTAAACAAAACATTTCCAACATCGGAGCATACAAAACAAAACACAGCGTTCTGATGGTTTTCTTTTGTCTTTTTTTCTATCTATACCACTGATTTAAGAAAAAAAAAAAAACTATGTAATTATGCTGCACATATTATTTCGTATCCTTTTCACGTCAGTTAAAATTTTTTTCACATACTGTTCTCGGCATTATTTTCATGATATTGTTGAGTAAAGTACCAACCATATAGGCATTGGGACAACAGTGTGGTTTTAAGGCCACATGCTCCCCACAATGCTGCTTTTCACATCTCTGTGTAGACCCTTTTCCATATTTACACACGAATGAATCGATACCCACAAGTGTGTTTATGGGTCTACAAATATTAATATTTTTGTCTCGATGTGCAATGCTAAATTATTTTAAAGTAAGGGGGCCTGCTAAATGCCTCTTTTAGAGAAAAGAAAAACAAATTAAAAAGGAAGTAAATTGGAAGCGTTTTGAAATCAGTACCAATAGGACTTCTCAGGCTTCCTCTAAAGGAGGAGGAGGTGAATTACACCTGCTGTTTAGGCAGCTCAGCTCCCCAGGTAGGACACCAGCTCCTGGCTCTCTCCAGCAGCCCGTCCTCTGCATCCTGCTGCTTCCTGAATCTGATCACGGTCAATGCCCATCAAACTGGATGCAGAAGCGAAGCATGGAGTCCAAAAGTACTTCACCTCTGCTTTGGAAAAATTACGTGATTTTTGTTGTGCCTGTATGTGTTTTGTTTCTGCAGCAGA